CAAACACACACACACACACACACACACACACACACACACACACACACACACACCTGACAGGCAAAAATACCCTTGTTCTCACAGCTCTTTGAGGATGAAAAAATAGCAGAGGCTATATGTCATCTTTCCCCTGATCCTCAGCTCTGGGAAAACTGTGGGGAATGTTCACTACCAAATGTCAGTCTCCACTACACTGAGATACCTCACAAAATACTAACTAGGGCAAGTATTAAAAAAAAAAGAAAAGAAAAGAAAAACAAAACAAAACAGGGAGTATTGGTAAAGACGTCAGGAAAGTGGAACCCTGTGCTGGGAATGTATAGTGGTTCAGCCCATGGAAGACAGTTTGGTCGGTCCTCAAAAGGCCAAGCACTGGGATTGAAGTTTCACAGTTAAGCGCACTGGCTGCTCTTGTGGAGGACCCAGGTTCCCAGTACCTACATGGTAGCTCACGACTGACTGTAGCTCCAGTGCCATGGGACCCAATTCTCTCTTCTGGTCTCACACACATGGCATACATGTGCACTTGCAGGCAAAACACCTCCATATATAATAAAAAGACCAGTACAGAATTACCATATGACCCAGTAATTCCACTTCTGAGTGGAAAGCAGGAACTCAAACAGATATTTGTCCACCCCTAGTCTGAGCAGCATCATTCACAATAGCCAGGAGGCAAAGCAGCAAGCATCAGTCCATGGTGAATGGAGAAAGAAAGAAAATGTGTCTGTCCCCAACTTGCATATTGTTCATTTTGAAAAAAAGAAGGGAGTTTTAACACAAGACAGTATGGAAAAACCCTGGGGACATTATCCTGAGTGAAATGTTCCAATCACAAAGGACAGCTGCTGTGAAGTTCTTAGGGGATTCACATCCACAGAGCAGAAAATAGAAAGTAGTTTGGGGGCTGGGAGACACAGGGAGGTAAGTGTTTCCCTGGGACACTTAGAGACACTTTGTACATTCCCCGGAATGTACAAAGATGAGTACATTCCAGAAGTAGAGGTTATGTGTTTAATGCCACTGCTTTGTGCACCTAAAATTGATTAAGATAATGAAACTCGTATATATTACTACAATAAAAGAAGAAATATAATTTAAATTACTTATAATCCCATCTTCCTGGTAGGGAGGTTTCCCAAAGCATACATGAGGCTGGGACCAGTGAAGCATGACTGGTAATGACATCACTGTGCAATGAGGGCTGCGCATATGTGACCTCCCTAGCAGCAGATGGGCTGTGGATATTGTAGTATAGTCACTGCCAACACAGAAACTAGAGGTAATGAGGGCAAGATATAGGCTCTAGAAAGCAGCTGGCTTGCAAACTCCTGAACACAGTTCCTGAACCCATGAGGGCTTGCAGGATGAGGTATGCCTCTACCTCAGTCCTCCACAGTAAATAAAACAAGCAAGCCAAAACAGAGAGGAAATTAAAGGACCAAACAGGGGCTGGAGTAGTAGCTCAGTGGGTGGCATACAAACATGAAGACCTGAGTTTAGATGCTAGCATCAGTGTAATAAAAAGCACATGAGAGGTGGAGACAGGAGGATTGTTCTGGCCTGCTAGAAGTCAGCCGAGCTCCAGGTACAGTGAGAGTTACTGTTTTAAAGGAATAAGGTGGCAATCATATAGCTGAACACTCAGCATCCTTCTTTGGCCTCTTCACACACATGCACATAAATCAACACACTCGCACACACTAATAAGCAAGCAATAACCAAACAATACAGTATATTTTCTATCCTCACACATGGGAAATCTTGAATGAAATCCATACTTCAAAATATTCTTATTATAAAAAGCTGAGAATAATGTCTAGGAATTCACAGATGGGATCTTTCAAACATTGAAGAAACAGATAATTCCCATGATATTTAGAATGTTCTTGGAAAAAAAGAAGGAAACCCTCTGGGTTATTTTTATTAAATGAGCATGAAAGCAATGCCAGAAGTCATGTTGAAGGAAATGGAGGAATGGATGGAGGGAGGGAAGAAGAAAGAGGGGGAAGGGAGAGAGAGAGAGAGAGAGAGAGAGAGAGAGAGAGAGAGAGAGAGCACTAGAGCTTCCAAAAGACTAGGCACCAGCACATGGGTCAGAGTAATATTCAACAGAAGAGAAACTGGCATCTGTCATTTTCTAGGGAAACCTATAGGAAAACTTAACCTAAGTTCAGTGGAGCTCATTTGCAGAAGGTAGAGATTCCCCAGCACCAAAGCATCAGTCATGACACAGATGTCACCCCGAGGCCTTTGTGTACCTGTATCATAAGGTGCCATTCTTCTGAGCATTCGTGTGGTCCCAGAACCTTCCTGTTTCCTTCCCCCACAAACAATGGGTTTCTGTGTCCCTCGGGTAGCTAT